TCTGTGCGCAGGCAAAGCAAAAACAAAATCAATCAACAGCAAAAACAAAAGCAAAGCAAAAGCAACAGCAAAAGCAAAAGCAAAAGCAAAGGCACAGGCAAAAGCAAAGGCAAGAGCAAAAGCAAAGGCAATGCAAAGCAAAAGCAAAACCAATGCGAACGTGTAGATGTAGATGTAGGTGTAGGTGTGGATGTGGATGTAGGTGATGATGTAGATGTAGATGTAGGTGTAGATGTAGGTGTAGATGTAGACGTAGATGTGAGTCTCGCTATTGATGTTGATGTAGATGTAGATGCAGGTGTAGATGTAAATGTAGCTGTCGGTGTAGATGTCGATGTTGCTTTCCTAAATGCTCCAACTCCTAGGTAGGGTCGCACTGGGATACTTCAGTTTCAATTTGGGGAACTCCTCGGCCCCCTGTTCGAGGCCGGCGGAATGGCAGATTTCGGGGGCATGCTCAGCTGCCCCCCGCTCGGCGGGCGCAGCGGTGGAGGAGTCCGTTGGCGGAGGACTGCCATGTTGTTGCACGTTGGAGCCGTAGCGCACGAGTCTCATTGCAAGCCCGATAGAGCTCATTCTGGACGATTTGCACTGCCGCGGCGCAGGCCGTCGAGGATACGGAGGAAATCGCTCCAAAGGCGCAGGAGGCTCGCGGACTCACATGCAAGCAAGCAAGCAAACAACGGCCATGCATCCGGAAAGACGCGTCGGCAGACTCGAGGCTGCGCCGTTGGCAACCGAGCGGAACACACATAAGCCCACACCAAAGATTGGAGCCATAGGAGGAAGAGGAGAAGGAGGAGGAGGAGGAGGAGGAGGAGGAAGTGGCGAGCGTTTTCTCATTTGGCGTTTCGACGTTGGACGGAAGCGGGGGGGGGATCTGGCTCCAGAACTCTGCTCAATGCGACTGTTTGCAGCTGCGCGGGAAGGCCCCACCTGCTTGAAACATACGCCAGCGCGAGGGCCCGCGCCGATCGGCAAAACAACGAAAAAGAAAACGATCGCGAGAAAGGAGGGACAGGGGAAACAACGATCGGAATCAAAGCCGGCAGACGGCTCGGCGAGACCGAGCGCGGACGGCAGCTCCGCGGCGGCCTCGCGGAGGTCGTGCACAAGGCCTCCTCGCCATCGCGCGGAGGCTGCCCAGCTCGCGCGCACTGCCTCTGAAAAAACGGGCGGGGCATCGGCCCCCTCGGCGCGGCAATCGCAGAGACTCCCACGGCGTGGCTCTCGCCCTACTCGCCATCGCTCGGACGCGCATGCCACGCGCATGTCTCGATTTCGCGCGCGCGTGCCCCAGCGATCGGACAGTCCCAGGTCAGCGCTCGGAAGCGAAAACCAGCGGCAGCCTGCGCTACTCTGCAAGCCCAATGGGCCTGCCCCCACGGGGCCGCCGGGGTCCACGCGAAGGTGCACTGCGGGGCACCGGGCCCCGATATACCCCGGGGGGGCCATCGCAATCCCCCGAGTCGGGCCCAAAGCGAAGGGCCCCTAGGCACGTCGGCCCGGCCCGCGCAGCCCTACGGCGACAGATGTCAGCCAGGGGAGCGAGGCGCCAGGGGCCCCGCGAACCAGGAGGCCGCCGCGACGACCCAAGGCCACCAGGGAACCACGCCACGGGCCCGCAGGCCTACAGGGCGCCCCCAAGGCTGACTCCTGTTTTCGGGTTCACCCCGCTAGGAGCCGCTCGCGCCTCTTGCGCCGCATCCTCCCAGCGGGGCTGCACTCCTGTAGAATCGACCGAGGGCCCACGCAGTCCGCCAGGAACCGACGGGCCCCGCGCGACACATGGGCCCCGCAACGTCGACCAAACACAAACGCATTGCACGTCGCAAGCTCATGGCCACGATCCTGCACTAACATCCTCGCGCCAGCGGACTCACCCGCCCCCGCCCCGCTCGCTGGAGCGGGGGCAGCGGCGAAGCTCGCTGCAACATGGTCGGCGGCAGGCAGGGAGGAAGAAGAAACGGTTGCCTCTCCAGGCGCCCCACTGCTCAACGGCGGCGCACTGCGGCCATCGCGCGCAAGGCGACGTGGCCTTGCCAACGGCTGCTAACTCTCCTCGGACTGCGCCTCCACGGGCTCGGCATGTCCCTCGCGGCGCCCGATCCTGCGCCCCCGCGTCGGACTGCTAGCACCGCATGGCTCCTCGCGCGCCGCCGCCCTGCGAGCCCTGGCCTGCGGCGCCGCGCCCCGGGGCGCGCGCCCACCGGGGCGCTTGGCCGCAGCCGCTCCGGCCAGCGCGGCGGCGCAAGCGTGGGCACCGTCGCGGCACCAGCAGGTCCACCCTCGGTCATGCCGTCGGGGCCCGCATCCCCCCTTGCCCGACACTGAAATACCCCGTCGCTTCTGGCGTGCCAGGGCGCGCACGACGTCGACCATAGCTGCTGCCACTGGCGCGCCACGGCGCGCTCGGCGCCCATCTGTCGCCGGCGGGGCTCTCGGTGGATGGCCATCGGTGCTCTCTCTGGGCCAGCTACCAGCTCGCCAACCGCGGCCTCTTCGGGCTCTGGCCCCTCCTCACCTGACTTCGCATTGAAAAGGAATGCTGCTGCCCGCGCGGCCCCGTCCTCGCCTCCTGCCGCGACCCAGCGGCTGGAGGCTCGGCGCGTGCATGCGCCTGCGGGCCTCGTGCTCTGCCGCGCCCGCCGCGGTGCCCTCGGTCGTCGCGACGCGGGGCCTCCGCGGGGACCGCGACTGATCCGCTCGCCTCAGGCCGCCGGGCAATGGGGCGACGCGGCGGCCGGCTGCCTCGCTCCGGCGCCCGAGGTTTGGAGTTGGCCACTTTATTACGAGCCAGAAACGCCTCCATCTCGCGGCGGTAGTCCCCCCCCCCAAAGTCCAGGAGCTCGGACCAGCCCCCATGGCGTTCGGCATCCGTCGCAGCCCGCGCCGCTCCGCAAGCGTCGGCCGCCCTGCGACATCGGGCATGCTCCGCGGCCTCCTCCGCGAGCCCGTCGAATAGCACAGCGAAGACAAGGGCCTTCGGGGCCTCGGCGACGCGCGGCTCGCACTCCTCGGTTCGCTGGCGCCGCGCGTCGACCGCGCGCCGCGCACTGGTGGAGCCGCTGACCGATGGCCCCATACAGCCTCCCCAGCTTCCAGCACGAAGGGACGCGTAGCCCGCTGCTGCGCCGGCGCCGCCAACCCGAGCGAGACGAGGACGGCCTCGTTCCCCTGCCTGGAACTGCAAGACCTCACAGCGGCGGCCATGTCTGCAGCACCTCGAGGCGAAGGCCCCACCGGGGACCCGTCATTAGGGGCACCAACCGCTCGCGCAGCTCGACTACCACCTGGAGGCTCCGATGCGACAGCTCGAGGCCTGGGTGATCATCTTGCAAGCTGCCTTCTCGACGAGGCTCTGCGCGCGCTCTCGAGCTGCAGCCTGCGCGCCGCCGCAGCCCCCAGCCATCCCAATGCGGTGGCCCTGATCGTGCTGCCTGACCTGGTGGGAGCTCGAATCCGCGTTGCACTGCTCCTCAGCGCCGCCCCAATCGCCCCCGTCGCCCTCGCGCGCGTCGGCCGCGACCTCCTGCCCGGCGCGGCCAGACCTCGCGGCGGCCACCACAGCCGCGGCACCTCAAGGCGGAGGCCCCGCCAGGGACCCGCCATTCGGGCAACCAACCTCTCGCGCAGCTGGACTGTCACCTGGAGGCTCCGAAGCGGCGGCTTGCGAGGCCTAGGCACTGGCCGCAGAGCTGAAGCCGCCCCGAGCACCCGCCCGGGCGCTACCTCCCCCGCCCTCTTCGACGTCCACGGCGGGCCCACGCGCTGCCTGCAGCGGGCGCCGCGCCTTCCAGCCCGCGCCCTCAGGCCGCATCCCCACCGCAGCAGCGCTCACATCAGCGGGCTGGCCGGGCCAAGGGCATGGGCCTGTCTGCAAAGCAATCTCGACCCCCGCAGCAAACACCGAGGCAAACGCCCGAGCCGAGAGGACACGCAAGCCGTTGCGTTCAGCTGCCCAACGGCGCGCGCAACGAACGCACGGCACCCGCATCGCAGACGCAGCACCTCCTCCAAATTGGAGTCCACATGGACGCACCCGCGCTGGATGAGCTCGAGCTTCGGCGGGCACCCCTGGCGGCGTGGGGCTCGTTGCTCATCGCGCGGTGGGTCCCAGGCCCCGACCTAAGCCACTCGGTGTGTGTGTGTGTCTGTACGCGTGTGTGCGTGCGTGCGTGCGTGCGTGCGTGCGTGTGTGCGTATGTGTGCGTCTGTGTGCGTCTGTGTGCGTCTGTGTGCGTGTGCGTGTGTGTGCCTGTGTATGAGTGTATGAGTGTATGTGTGTATGTGTGTATGTGTGTATGTGTGTATGCGTGTATGCGTGTATGTGTGTATGTGTGTATGAGTGTATGTGTGTATGTGTATGTGTGTATGTGTGTATGTGTGTATGTGTGTGAAGGTGTGTGAATGTGTTTGGATGTGTGTGAATGTGTGTGAATGTGTGTCTATGTGTTAGAACGTGTGTGAATGTGTGTGTGCGAATGTGATAGCGTGGGTGTGTGTGTGTGTGTTTGTGTGTGTGCCTGTGTATGTGTCTGTGTCTGTGTCTGTGTCTGTGTCTGTGTCTGCGTCTGTGTCTGCGTCTGTGCCTGCGTCTGTTGACGCGGAGCCTATAAAGAGTAAAAAGAAGCCCACAGAGGGCTCAGGCCCCACTGAGGGGCCAAAGCCACAAGGGGGCACCCAAGGACAGGGGGCGGGCCACAAGGGAACCCGAGAGCCCAAACGAGCCGCAGAAGGCAGCCACCAGGGCACATCGGCCCCGAGGCACCGCTCGGCCTGTCAGCTCAGACCCCCGTTCAGGGGCATCAGCGCGAAGCGCTGGAATCTATGCGCCAGCGCAGACACGCGACGGGCAACGCCCCAAACATGCTTGCACAGCTCGTCCTCCCACCGGGGCCGCCTTGGGCCACCGCCCACAGTGAACTCGACTGCGACTGAACACAGGAGTCTTCACTCACAGGCAAAACAGCGCTACACACGGAATGCTACTGCTTGCCTCATTCATCGAGGGGCCCCCTCACGCCCCTCGGCATCTGGACGACCTGCAAGCGGCCCTCGAGGATACGCTCACGCTCCTCGGCATCTGGCCAGCCTACACTACCGGGCTTGACGTCGATGAAGCGGGCCTCGGTCGAGCTCAGGAGAGACTCAACTCCCGACTTGGGCCCAATGGCCACGCGCATCATCGCCGCCACCGTGAAATCGTCCAGGAAGTAGAACAAGCTCTCGCTGAACGCGTGGCGGGAGGCCATCTTCGCCTCCCTCTGCTCGCACAGAGCCTCCAGCGCATTCAGCGGCCTCGAGAGCACCTCTCGCTCGCCCATGGGCTCGGCGCCCTCCGCCAGCGTGCCCTGCTGCTCGGACAGCGCCGCCAGGTCGCCCCTCTGCGAGACCAGCTGCTCCGAGGTCGCCTCCAGCGCGCGCGGCCGCTGCGAGAGCGCCTCCAGCTCGCACTCGGCCTCGGCGCTCTCCTCGAGCGCGCCCTGCCGTACGGACAGCGCCGCCAGGTCGCCCTTCAGCTCGACCGTGGGCTCGGCGCCCTCCACCAGCGCGCCCAGCCGCCCCGCGATCGCCTCCAGCTCGACCGTGGGCTCGCTCTTCGCGTCGACGCCGCCGCCATCGCCATCGATGGTCGCCCCCTCGAACCCGTCGCCGACATCATCGGAGACGCTCACGAAAACGCCCGCCACGAGCTTCGCCTCGGCGTCGGCATCCTACAGGAGGGGCCGAGCCACAGGCTGCCGACGGCCCGTCGGCGGCGCGGCCGCGCGGCACCCACGCCTGCTGCCCAGCCTCCGCCTGCTGCCGCCATGCCTGCCTACGCCCTGCCGCCGCCACCGGTTGAGCTGCGGCAGCTCCGCCCGCCTGATGGCGGCGGCTGGCGCGGCCGCGCAGTGCAGGCCCGCGTTGCGCCGCGCTCGACACAAGGCACGCACGGCCGTCCCTGCGCCGTCGGGCTCTCCAGCCAGGACGCCCTCCAGGATCGGCGCGGCGAGCGCCATCCTGGTCGCGAGCTCGTCCGCGAGCGCCGCGTTAGGCTCCGGGATGCCGCCCGCCAGCTCCGTGAGGCGCACCGCCTGGGCCGCCGCCGCCACGTGCCGAGCCTCCTCTGCAGCGACGCGGGCCTGCAAGGCGACGATGGTGGCCTCGAGCTCCGTGACGCGGTGCAGGGCGGCAGCCAGCCTCCCGCTAGCCGCCTGCTGCGCAGCCGCACGCCGCGCCCTCCGCGCAGGCCAGGGAGAACCCCCAGCTGCGCGCCCTGGCTGCTCCACCGCCTCGCAGGCGGCCACGCAGCCGACCGTCGCCATCCGCGCCCAGAAGCGCCTCCTGCGCGCCGAGCCCGCGCCCGCGCGCGCCCGAGGAGCAGCTCTTGAGCCAAAATGGCCACGGATTGTGTCTGTGTCTGTGTCTGTGCCTGTGTCTGTGTCTGTGTCTGCGTGTGTCTGTCTGTCTGTCTGTCTGTCTGTCTGTCTGTCTGTCTGTCTGTCTGTCTGTCTGTCTGTGTGTGTGCGTGCGTGCGTGCGTGCGTGCGTGCGTGCGTGCGTGCGTGCGTGCGTGCGCGTGTGTGCGTGTGTGTGTGCGTGTGTGCGTGTGTCCGTGTGTGTGTGTGTGCGTGTGCGTGTGTCTGTGTGTGCGTGTGCGTGTGTGTGTGTGCGTGTGTGTGTGCGTGCGCGAGTGCGTGCGTGCGTGCGCGCCTGCGCACGTGCGTGCGTGCGTGCGTGTGTGTGCGTGCGTGCGTGCGTGCGTGCGTGCGCGCGCGCGTGCGTGCACGCGCGCGCGTGCCTGCGCGCGTGCTCGCGCGCGGGCGGGCGGGCGCGGGCGAGCGGGCGGGCGGGCGGGCGAGCGTGCGCGCGTGCGTACGTGCGCGTGCGTATGTGTAGGCGCGCGTGTTTGCGGGTGTGGGTACGTGCGTGGTCGCGCGCGTGCGAGCGTGCATGCGCGCGTGCGTGCGTGCGTGCGTGCGTGCGCGCGCGCGTGCGTGCGTGCGTGCGTGTGTCCCCTGTGGCCTATCCGCCGGAGCAATCGCCCTCTGCCCAGCCGCCGACGCAAAAAGCGTGCGTGCGCGTGTGCGTGCGAAGTTCAGGACAGCCTGCGCCGGCGCTGCCCCCTCGCGGCGCTGTCCCCTGCCGCCGCCGGCAGCTCTGAAAGGCTCGACTTCCTCTCCCCCCGTCGCACCGGGGCTCCTCCTCCTCCCGTGCAATGCGGACTTAATTTGCATGCAGCGTGACCCCTGTTGCCATTCCGCCAGAGCAGTCGACCTCTGCCCAGCCGCCGACGCAAAAGTGCGCGTGTGTGTGATTGTGTGTTCGTGTGTTTGTGTGTTTGTGTGTTTGTGTGTATCGTTGTGCGTGTGTATTGTGTGCTTGTGTATTTGTGGGCGGGTGTGTTTGTGTGTCTGTGCGTGTGTGTTTGTGTGTGTGTTTGTGTGTTTGTGCGTGTTTGTGTGGTTGTGTATGTGCCTTTGTGTATTTGTGTTCTTGTTTGTGTAAGTTTGTTTGTTTGTAAGTCTGTGCGTTTGTGCATTTGTGTGTTTGTGTGTTTGTGTGCTTGTGTGTTTGCGTGCTCGAGTGATTGTTTGCTTGTGTGCTTGTGCGCTTGTGTGTTTGTGTGATCGTGTGTGTGTTTGTGCGTTTGTGTGTTTGTGTTTGCGTGTTTGTGTGATTGTGTTTGCGTGGGTTTGTTCTCGTGCGTGCGTGTGTGTGTGCGTGTGTTGTGTGTGCGTGCTTTTGTGTGCTGTGTGCTGTGTATTGCGTGTGTTGTGTGTGCGTGAGCGCGTGCGCGTGCGTGTGCGTGCGTGCGTGTGTTGTGTGTTGTGTCTGTTGTGTGTTGTGCGTTGCGTGTGTGTGTGTGTGTGTTTGCGTTGTGTGTTAGTGTGTTGCGTGTTGTGTTGGCGTGTGGGTGTGTTTGTGTGTTTGGGTGTTGGTGCGTTTGGGTGTGCGTATGTGCGTGTGGTGTGTGTGTGGTGTGTCTGGTGCGTGCGCGTGCGCGTTGCGTGTGTTGTGTGTTGGTTGTGTGGTTTGTGTGTTGTGTGTGCGTTGTGTGTTGTGTGTTGTGCGTGTTGTGTGTTGTGTGTTGTGCGTGTTGTGTGTTGTGTGTTGTGTGTTTGTGTGGTTGAGTGTTTGCGTGGTTGTGTGTTCGTGTGTGCTTGTGTGTTGTGTGCGTTTGTGCGTTTGTGCGTTTGTGTGTTTGTGGTATTGTAGCTGTTAGCGGAAGAGGTTCGCTCTCGCCCCGCAGATCAAAAGTGTTTGTGTTTTTGTGTGTTTGTGGGTTTCTGCGTTTGTGTATGGTTTTTTCTTTGCTTGCTTGTTTGCTTGTTTGTGTGACTGTGCGGTTGTGTGCGTGTGTGTTGTGTGCGTATGTGTTTGTGTGTTTGTGGGTTTCTGTGGTTGTGTGGTTGAGTGGTTGTGAGTTGGTGTGTTTGTTGTTGTGTTTGTCGTTGTTTTGTGTTTGTGTGTGTTGTGTATTTGTGTGCTTGGGCGTTGGTGTGATTGCGTGCGTGTGTGCTTGTGTGCGTTTGTGCGTGTGTGCTTGTGTGCTTGTGTGCATGTAAGCTTGTGTGAGTGCGTGTTGTGTTTGTGGGTGTGTGTGATTGTGTTTGTGCATGTTTGTGCGTGTGCGCGTGTGCGCGTGCGTGTAAATGTGTGCGTGTGAATGTGTGCGTGCGTGTGCGTTGTGTGCGTTGTGTGCGTTGAGTGTGTGTACGTGTGCGTGCGCGTGTGCGGTTGCGTTGGTTTGTGCGTGTTGTGTGTTGTGTGTGGTGTGTGTGGTGTGTGTGTGTTGTGTGTTGTGTGCTGTGTCTGTTGTGGTGAGCGTTGTGTGGTGTGTGATGGGGTGTTGGTGTGCTGATGTGCGGGTGTGCTAGTGTGTTGAAGTGTTGGTGTGCCTGTCTGCTGGTGCGTTGGTGTGTTGGGGTGTTGGGTTATGCAAGTGTGTGTGTGTCGTGTGTGGCGTGTGTGGTGTGTACGTGGTGTGTGTGCGTGTTGTGTGTTGCGTGTGTTTCTGTGCTGTGTGTGTGTTGTGTATGCTGTGTGTGGTGTGTGCTGTATGTTGTGTGTGTTGTATGTGTGTTGTGGTGTGTGCTGTGTGTTGTGTGCGTATTGTGTGGTGTGTGTTGTGTGTGGTAGTGCTGTGTGTGGTGCGTGTTGTGTTCCGTGTGTGTGTTGCGTGTGGTGAGTTGTGTGTGGTGTGTGGTGTGTGTGTGTTGTGTGTTGTGTGTTGTGTGTCGCGTATGTTATATGCCTTATGTGTGTGTTGTGTGCGTGGTGTCTGTTGTGTGCGCTGTGTGTATTGCGTGTTGTGCGTGTTGTGTGGTGTGTGTGCGATGTGTGCTGTGTGTTTGTCTTTTGTGCTGTGCGCGTTGTGCGTTGTGTGTGTTCTGTGTTGTGTGTTGTGTGCTGTGTCTGGTGTGTGTTGTTTGTGTGTTGTGTGTTGTGTGTGTTGTGTGTTGTGTGTCGTGTGCTGTGTGTTGTGTGTTCTGCGGTGTGTGTGTGTGTTGTGTGTTGTGTGTGTTGTGTGATGTTGTTGTGTGTTGTGTGTTGTGTGTTGTGTATTGTGTATTGTGTGTTGTGTGTTTTGTGTGTTGTGCTGTGTGGTGTGTTGTGTGTTGTGTTGTGTGTGTTGTGTTGTGTGTTGCGTGCTAACTGTTGCGAGTGTGGTGTGTGTTTGTGTGTTGCGTGTGTTGTGTACTGTGTGTATCGTGTGTGTTGTGTGCTGTGTTCTGTGTCGTGCTGTGTTGTGTGTTGTGCTGGGTGTTGTCTGTTATGTGTTGTGTGTTGTGTGTAGTGTGTGTGTGTGTTGTGTCTGTTGTGTGTTGTGTGTCGCGTGTCGTGTGTTGTTATGTGTGTGTTGTGTGTAGAGCGTTGTGTGTTGTGTGTTTGCTGTGTGTTGTGTGCGTTGTGTGTTGTGCGTTGTGTGTGTGCTGTGTGTAACTTTGTTGTGTGTTGTGTGTGTTGTGTGTTGTTTGTTGCGTGTTGTGTGTGTTGTGTGTTTGTGTTGTGTGTTGTGTGTCGTGTGTTGTGTGTGTGTGTCGTGTGTTGTGTGTTGTGTGTTGTGTGTGTGTTGTCTGTGGCGTGTGTGGTGTGTGGTGTGGTGTGTGTGGTGTGTGTTGTGTGTTGAGTGTTGAATGTTGTGTGTTGTGTGTGGTGTGTGTGGGGTGTGCGGTGTGTTTGTTTCTGTGTTTCGCCAGATGATCCAGGATGCTCCTCGATGGCTCCCGCACACGTCCGAACGATGCCGAGCCTGGGAACGCGGAGGGGGAGCATTCGAAGGGGGGGAAGAGCCCTCCGGCAGACGTTCTTTCCGCGGGCCGTGCCGCCCGACGACG